GTCAAAGGGGAAATATCTTTCATGTGCATTTTTAAATGCTGGGGGGTGTTACTGTAGCATAAGGTGTTTGCAATTACTTACCAGCACCATTCAGCTAGCAAGAAAACCCTTCCCCTGACGGCTGTGTTCCCCTGGGCATTGAATCCAGGCGGAAAGGACCAAAGTCAGGAACATACGAGAGAGGAGTCCATTGGTTGCTTGATATGTATATTCAAAAGATAAAAGTCTTAATGTGATGGTGGAAATACCCCTTATAAAAATGCTGAAACTGGAAGAGAGAAGCTCTGAGTGACTCCTGCTGTTCTCCAGAACAAGCGTCACAGTGGAAGAGCTTCCCTCCTGTTGCTGTTGAAAGAGGGCTGCTCAGTAAAGGGCTGTGCTAGACCCCCAGTTCGGGAGTGGGGAGCTCGGAGGATGCTGTGAGCTCCGAGCTTAAGGCCATGGAGAACTTCTCAAGACCAGGGAAAAACTAGAGCAGGATTTTGAACACACAGCAGAGCGGCCGGCTGGAGGGAGCTCTGCACGGAGCATTGCTCAGAGCAGTCCCAGCCTGAGCCTGGCCGGCTCTGCCAAGCCGCTGAGCTGAGTGGAGCACGGAGGAATTTGTGCTATGCTAACCCGGCGTTTGGGTGACCGAGAGGGTTAATGAATTAAGCCTGCAATGAGAAGAATTCAGGGCTTGTAAATCAATCAGCCAAACGGCACAGAGGGTATCGTTAAGAGGCTTTCCTTCAAAGATGAATTTCTTGGCAGCTTCGAGTGCCAGAGCAGACCAGCTGTATTACCTCACGTCGCCTTTTGGGCAGATGGGAACCCAGAATAAATGTAACTCCACGCCCTGTTGCATGATGCTTCTTGTCCATTTGAGTTTTCTAACAGAGCTAAATGGAATAAGGGATAAAGGCAGACTTGTGGTCTTCAGGAATAAAATCCATGGTCAGTTAAGTGCTCGCCGCCACGCGCGCCCGCGGCGAGGGCAGGATTACAGCTGGACGAGGCCTGAGGCTCGCCCCTGACATGACCACCCAGCCTCCAGCTTTAGAGCTCACGTCTGATTGTCTTCAACCAAAGGCACCAGCGGGCTCTGACTTAAGAGCGGGGGAAGCGATGTCTCTGTCAGGCTCCTGGCAAGAGAAACACCGCAGGTAGAGGCTCGGCGAGCACGCCGTGCCCTGCCCTTGCCCACCTCCTCACGCGGTGGGTGGGTGCTGCAGCACGTGGGGACGGGGTGAGCCCCATCCTGGCTGAAATAAGCTTTACAGCCGTGCCTGGGCAGGCAGGGCAGCAGCTTACTTTTCCCTATACCACAGTCTTGACCTGAAATCTTCCTTTCCATTTGCGGTTTCTGCTTTTGCAAATTCCCTCCTCTGTGCCCACGACGCCGGCCAAAGCCTTTGTGTGCACCCACTGCTGGGGGTGATAAACAACAGCTGTCTGCTTGCGCCAGGGCAGGGTCATGGTCACGGCAGTGTCAGTGCAGTTTGCTCTTCTTTTGACTGAAAATAACCTTATGTTTACACTTCTTGGGGCAGATTTCCTGGAACACAGCAAGGGCAGAGGGTCTGCAGCACCAGGTCATCGAGTCGAGACACGTGCGTTCCTGATCAGGAGGGAAGAGCAGGGCTCTGTGTACAGATGGAGAGCAGGCACACACCTCTCCCCGTCACATCTTCTTTTTAAAGTGTCCCCAGGGTCTAAACCCCATTCTTCCTTGACCCATTGCTGACAGTTCCTCCCCCACAAACACGTGTTTCTCACTGACCCCTTTGCTGGTCATGCAAGCAGAACAGCAAGCCTGGGTGCTGCAAATGGGAGCCAGGCCAGCGGGGACAGGGCCGTTTCAGCGTAGCTCTTGTGCCGTAGGGTCCATCTGCCGGTAAGAAACCACAGCACAGCGTTTCCGTATCGTCCGCTCGCGTCCAACGTGCCCGTGTCCTCTTCCTCCAGGGCTGGATTCAGCCTCACAAGAAGCTTCCCTTTCCTGAATGCAGGGTTACTGAGGTTTTCTTGTCTTTCTCTGCAGACCTGGTGCTGTACTGTGAAGCCTTTCTGACTACGTACAGGACATTTATTACCCCTGAAGAGCTCATCAAGAAGCTGCAGTACAGATATCCTTTTGCACTGAGTGGCAGTTCACCCCCACCAGGAATCAGGGCCAAGCAGTCACTGGGGAGGGAGCTGGGGGCAAGCTCTGTGGTCAAAAACATGCTGTCAGTGTGGTCAGTATGTGCTTCCCTAGAAGCTGTCCCAAGTGGGGCTTTCTTCACTTCTGCCCCCCTGCAAACGGGAAGTGCTGCAGGGCAGGTCTAGGCAGGGTGGAGTGCTGGACCTGAGAGTCCTGGAAGCCCTGGCAGGGGAGAACAGTTCAGATTTCCTGTACATCACTGGGGAATTGGTCATTTGTCTGGGACATCTCATTTGTAGAATGGGGATCACGCTGCCTTCTGCCCTCCGAGGGGCTGAGGGGATTGTCTGCTTGGGCAGGTGTAGCTTAACAGCAGAGGGGACTAAACCATCACGGCCTATTCTCTCTCTCGTTACAAGAAATGCAGCACAGAAGATTGTGTCCTCTTGGCCTCCAGCTCTGAACTGAGCGGGGGATGGAGACGGCCTCTGGCTGAGCACCCGGCCTGGGTCCCCTCCCTGGGCTGCGTTCCCGCGGCGCCTTCCCCATCAGCTGAGCAGGTCTGGGTCTGGGTTCAGGCAGTGCAAAGGCCTCGTGGGCTTTGGTCCTGTGCAGCCCACGCCAAAGGGACCCTGACATCACCCTGTTCTGCGCCACAGCTCGCCACTGCCATCAGCAGCAGAGCCACCCTGGCTCCTGCTGGCATCTGCGCGGCCAAGGACACGCAGAGCTCACTGCAGAGCTGTTGTCAGTGGAAGTGCTGGCTGGGGCACAGCTGCCGGCCCTGCTCAGTACTTGACTTGGTGATAACCTTTGTCTCTTTCCCCTTATCCACCTGGCAGAAGGTTTTGCAGCCTGTGCTGTCTCCCCTGCCACCAGTCTGGCAGCAAATTGGGCCGCGAGGAAGGTGGAGGTGACATCTGAGATCTGTTACGAGACCAGATGTCACAGACCTGTAGGGAGGATCACAGTAATGGAGTGCTGCTCCTGAAATTCCACCCAAGAGAGAACAGTTTCAGGGTACACCTGCTCTTCTGGCATCGATTCCGGGAGGTGTCCCTGCTACCTGCAGCTGGTGCAGCCGAAAGCCGGGTTAATTAGAGCCGTATGGGTGTCCCTTATCTCCTGGAGATTAAACTTTGGGTTTCAGTCAGGTCAGACCAGCAGCTATGCCAGCGTTCCTCCAAGCAGCTCTGAGTTGCACCGACACCGGTCTGACCACGCTGAGTTGATTCTTTAATTTGCACCCACATACGAGAAGTTTTGCCACTTCCCGGACACGTTTAAGAAGCGCGTCAGTAAGAACACCTTCTTCGTGCTGGTGAGAGTGGTGGACGAGCTGTGGTGAGTTGCCGCCTTCATAGAATCATAGAATCAGAGAATGGTTGGGGTTGGAAGGGACCTTAAAGATCATCCAGTTCCACCCCCCCTGCCATGGGCAGGGACCCCTTCCACTAGACCAGGTTGCTCCAAGCCTCATCCAGTCTGGCCTTGAAGACATCCAGGGAGGGGGCATCCACAACATCTCTGGGCAACCTGTTCCAGTGCCTCACCACCCTCTCTGGGAAGAATTTCTTCCTGACATCTAATCTAAACCTCCCTGATTTCAATTTGTACCCGTTACCCCTTGTCCTGTCACTACAGGCTCTTGTAAAAAGTCCTCTCCCAGCACCCTTGTAGGCCCCCTTCAGATACTGGAAAGCTGCAATGAGGTCTCCTCGGAGCCTCCTTCATTTCGGGATGGGGCTGTGGGGGCAGTAACAACACAGGAGCGCGGCGGTTTGGACGGTGTGTGGTTTAATCCTCATCCCTGTAACAGCGACACCCCGACCCGAGCGACACGTGCAGTGCTGAACCCCCCTGCTCAGCCGGTGCTCGCTGTGTCCCATCCCTGCCAGGGATTTTAAAATAATGAGGCAAAGGGGAATCTGCAGGAAAGGAAGAACTGGGAAGGGGAGGAATTTCAGTCACTTGGTTCTGCGTGTGGGAAGAACAAGGCTCGGTACAGACACAGGCTCTGCAGCTTGGAGACGCAGCTCTGATGCTGTCCCTGGGTTTTCTGTCTTCCAGCTTAGTGGAGTTGACGGAGGAAATTCTCAAGCTGCTGATGGACCTGGTCTTCCGACTGGTCTGCAACGGGGAGCTGAGCCTCGCCAGGGTGTTACGCAAGAACATCCTTGACAAAGTGGAGCAGAAGAAGATGCTGAGCTACGCCAATTCCATCAAACCTCTTGCAGCCCGTGGGGTGGCAGCCAGGTGAGGAAAGGTGCATGTGACCGTCTTCGGGAGGCAGGGCATCCCTCTCCTGGGGACACGAGGGTTTTCTCAGTCCAGGTTATGAGAAAGAAAAGACAACAGGTCGTGTTTTCTTAGCTTTTATACTTCATCCTTGTTCCTGCAGGCCGGGCACCCTGCATGATTTCCACAGCCATGAAATAGCCGAGCAGCTGACCCTCCTGGATGCCGAACTCTTCTATAAGATTGAGGTACGAGCCTGGGTGAAGGGCGGTGGAGGGGTTTGAGCACGTACCCTCTGCAGGCTGTGCCATTCCCTGCCAGCTCCCCAGGCACGGCTGTGGGGCTGTAGGAGCCAGCTGAACTTGTGTCAGCCAACGGCTGTGACTGCAGCCTGCAACGGGGAATCTTGAGGGAGAAATCCCATTTTAAGGTGTATTTTCCAACCCCTCTCCTCTTCCCCCTCGGCAGATCCCAGAAGTTTTGCTTTGGGCAAAGGAGCAAAATGAAGAGAAGAGCCCCAACCTGACACAGTTCACAGAGCACTTTAATAACATGTCCTACTGGTAAGGAGCAACCCTGGCCCTGAACTGTGTGCTGCTTCCCTCCTTACAGGCTGGATAACGTATATTTTTGACCAGGAAGTCGATGCAGGGCACTTACTAAAGACCCCAGAGCACAAGAGAAAGAAAATCAAGAGGGTTTTAGAGGGCACTGTAACCTGGATGAATTACCATCAGCACCACTGGGCCCTTCAAACAAAGATTGCCCTTGCAAATCAGTGCACTCAGTGAATGGTTATTGTGGGAATCCTTGGAATTACTCTTCACTGTGAATTGGAATGATCCCTTTAAGTGGGAAGCATCATGAACCTTTTGGTATTGTTGATCCATCCTTACTAGTTAGCAGTTTTGTGAGTGAAACAACAAGAAATCTGAGGTCTGCTGAAGTGGGTTTATCTTCCTGGGGTTTCTTCTGTCTCTTCCTCCAGGGTCCGTTCAATAATTATGCTACAAGAGAAAGCCCAAGACCGCGAGAGGCTGCTCCTTAAATTCATAAAGATTATGAAGGTATCAGCTTGGCTCTTGCTGTGAATCACACACTCTGCTGCTTAAAGGAGCAGGGGAGTGGGACCTTCTGCTTGGTAGAGCAGTTTGGTGCTAGAAAGCTTTTCGGATCTTGTGAGTAACTGGAATATTCTTCCTCTTCACAGCACTTACGAAAGCTGAATAATTTTAATTCCTATCTGGCCATTCTTTCTGCACTGGATTCTGCACCCATCCGAAGGCTGGAGTGGCAGAAACAAACCTCCGAGGTGAGGAGCAGCGAGAGCTGTCGGCATCGGGGAAGAGATAACTGTGGCTGCGGTACGGAACGGCTGGGTGGTCTTCAGAGCTCAGCAGCATCCCAGGGTGGAGGGATGGCGCGGAAGGATACAGACCGGTTGGAGCGAGTCCAGAGGAGGCCACGGAGATGCTCAGAGGCCTGGAGCCCCTCTGCTCTGGGGACAGGCTGGGAGAGTTGGGGGGGTTCAGCCTGGAGAAGAGAAGGCTCCGGGGAGCCCTTAGAGCCCCTTCCAGTGCCTGAAGGGGCTACAAGGAAGCGGGGGGGGACTTTTTACAAGGGCCTGTAGTGACAGGACAAGGGGTAATGGGTTTAAATTGAAAGCAGGGAGGTTTAGATTAGATATCAGGAAGGAATTCTTCCCAGAGTGTGGGGAGCACTGGGACAGGTTGCCCAGAGAAGCTGTGGATGCCCCATCCCTGGAAGTGTCCAAGGCCAGTCTGGATGAGGCTTGGAGCAACCTGGTCTGGTGGAAGGTGTCCCTGCCCATGGCAGGGGGTGGGACTGGGGGGGCTTTAAGGTCCCTTCCCACCCAAACCATCTGGGATTCTGTGATTCTGTGAGCTGCTCTGCGGTGGGTGTGATGCCGCAGCGTGGCTGGGCATTCGGACGGCTGCAGGAGTGCCCGCACAGGCAGGGGAGAACAGACTCCTCTTGCTCCTCCCGGCAAACCGAGGGCTCGGTGAGGCTGAAGGCAGCGAGGCTCTGTGTGTACCCACTGAGTAAATCCATCGGAGGCGTTTGCAGGATGGCATTAACTCCCTGGGGAGAGGTTACAAGGAGAAGGGGTGGCAGCAGCGGCGCCACCGTGGGCTTTGTGTTTTGGCAGGGCCTGGCTGAGTACTGCACGCTGATCGACAGCTCCTCGTCCTTCCGCGCCTACCGAGCAGCTCTGGCTGATGTGGAGCCTCCCTGCATACCTTACCTGTGAGTTGGTAGTTTCTTTCCTCTGCCGTTACTTCTGCACCTTAAGACGCTGCCCTCGAGGGTTTGTCAGCAGCTCCTGCTCAGCTCAGCACTTGCCTTCCGCCCTGCACCTAGAATACGATAGCGATGTGCCACACCAGCCCCCATCCCTCTCTGGAGCACTGTCCTGTAGCAGAGGAAAGCTGGAGATGTTTCCCTCTGGTTGGAAGTTGCTGAGCTGGTGGGGGCAGTAGCGGGAGGCCGTTCGATCGCCTCTGCCCTGCCCCTGTGTGACTAACCCGCACTTGTTTGCCTGCTCCCTGTCCGCCTTCCCCTTTTTCAGGGGCCTGATTCTGCAGGACCTGACCTTTGTTCATCTGGGAAACCCGGATTACATCGACAGCAAGGTGAACTTCTCCAAGCGCTGGCAGCAGTTTAACATCCTGGACAGCATGAGGTGCTTCCAGCAAGTGTAAGTGCAGCAACAGGGGGGGCAGAGCTGGCTTGGAGGGGCTGGGGGGGTCGTGGCGGGAACATGTGAGCCCCTGTGCAAGGGGGAGGGAGCGTAAGGTCAAAGCATCACGATGGGGATGTGGGGAGACCTGGGAACGACGCTCAGTCTCCTCCTCCCCCTGCGTTAGATACGACTGAAGGGTGTGAAAACGTTTTTCCTGGATGAGTTTTGAGATCAGTGCGGAGGAGTTTTCCTGCTGCTCTTCCACACAGCAGCTTTACTTCCAGGTTTGCTGTTGCTGGCGCCTGTGTTCCCTGGGTCACGGAGCGGTTTTTCCGTGCTCTCTTGCACAGATCTAACAGCTGATTTCGGTGTGCTGGGTCTTTTTTTTTTTTCTCCCCAATGGGCATGATGGTGTTTCCCCTTTCTGGTGTCACACCACAGGGACGAGTACTGGGCTCGGGTAGCGCTGACCCCGCAGCGCTGGGCCGGACAGGGCCCGCTCAAAGTCAGGAGAA